TGTCTGACTATTTTTGTACTACAATGGTAAAGTTGAGTAGCTGTATAGAAACCGCCTATGTCCTCATTTCACCTTGCTGGTGTGCTACATCATGGTGTCTACATCATCAGTGGTGCAGATTTGGCTTAACAGTATTTGGAGTGCCGTGTCTACCACAAATATCTTTTTTTCCTGTTACCAACTCATATCCATTATGTTAAGAAAAGTGCACTTTGATGTGCTTTAAGGTGCACTGGAGCAATGGATTGTCATTGTGTTATTTAACTACATGGTAAAGTAATGGTGTTTATCATTCAATGATACTTATGCTAAAAAAAGATAAAATACACGTTGACGAAGCAGACTAAGCACTCATGATAATATTTCCAATTTATGGAAAACAATGGTGAGAATTAGGAAATTAGAATATCTCATCACTATAACTATAAAACAAAAATGAAAATGAGGCTGCAACCAGAACATTTATGAGTGACCTGTTAGCCAAGAAAAAGCATTTATTAATGTACTAATGGTGAGTTAATATTCTTTAATGCAACAGCCCAAAGGAATATGTCCAGACAAAATAAAGTTAAGGCCATTCATTTTTTGATCAATTGCTGCAGACCATGTAGAAAGACTAAACAAAAATTCATACTCCAGCTGTACACACACAAACAGACTGTCCTTTGGTTGCGTTTTTGTAGCAATTCTGGAGTTCATCCATATTCTCTATTTGTTTAAAGAACTTCTAAAATGTTTTTTTACTAAGGTGTTAATTTTTTTTACTATTCAAAACTTTCACACTAAATGATTGGGTCATTTAAGATGCTTTTAATGTTAGGTTTTAGGAGGCTACACACTGACAGAAAAAGACATGAAATTAAACTTAATTGTCTTGCTTTCATACTTGGATTAAAAACAGAACTAAAGCTGTCTGTGATAATCAGTTCTTAATTCAGCACTAATGTATTTTGGAGCATTATGTCCTTTTTCTCAATTTGATTAATCACCTTTATCCTCCAAACAAGAACTATTGAGTATTAATACAGGTCAGATTTGAGCTCCTTATATTGTTAATCCTTCCCTTGAAGATGCAACATAAATCAGTTTGTTTTCATATTATATACCACTACTACTGTCCTTTCTGAGCAATGAGCTCTATGTATAAATCAGAGCTTAAAAGCACTTACCAAAAAGCCTTCCTTTCGTTTGTTACTCAAGAAACCAACTCAAACTGATGATTCCTGTCCCCCACCCCCCCACCCCCATTCCCCAATTGAAAATTAAACAAATACTACTGAATACTGGCTATGAACATCAAGGATCTGTCTTTGGGCATTGTTACCAGTTTTTGCTGTCATTTCCTGCAGTAAGAAAGGACTACAAGTAACTTCAAGTTGCCACTATTGGTATCGTCCACACTCTCAAATTTGAACTTCTAGGTACAAGAACATAAATGTGTTAAGAGGTTAAGCTAGTTACTTAGACTGCATTCTAGTAGGGTACATTGTTTAATTCTCTTTTGAGGAGAGAAAAATTATGGTGTTTCAAAGCTGCCTGCTATACTGAACATGCTACTGGGAAATACTTCATAGTTCTTGATTCACAGACCATTCCTTTGAAACAAGTCTACTTGAACTCATCCCACTAGTGATGATCACTCACTACAAGTCAGGACACCACTATAAAACAATGTCTCCATGTGGCAAAAAGGAAAACACAGTTTGAATTTGTGTGTGTGTCTGCCCCCATGCACGCATGTGTGCGTGTAAAGAGTTGGGTTATTTTTTTTGCACCATTATAAAACATTTTCCTGTGTCTAACAAGATTCTAAAATCTAGTGAAATAATTTTGAATTCAAGACTTCTCTAATGTTGGTGTGTATTTAATGCTTTTAGTAAGTGACAATAAAATTGCACAGCTTTTGTTAAGAATTGGAATCTGAATTTTCACCAAGACAAAGTTTAAAAAAGTGTTATCTGTAAATAGTAACATACTTAAGTCTATAGCATGGTCTGCTTGTAAAAGGAAATTTGTTCTAAACTGGCTAGATATGTTGAAAGGAGTGCAGGCTACATTTGGAATTAAGCCTAGTAGTATTTAGGGCAGGACAACTTTATTTGTGAAAACCTGTTGAGATGTCACTTTGGACAAGAATTTTCGCAGTAAGTAAATTTGCCAGCTGTGAGGGTGAGTGGAATGGTTGTTCTGGAAGTTACAGCATCATGGTATTAATGTGGTTTGTATATGGGTTGTAGGTTTTTTTTTTTAACTCATTGCAATTCTAGAGCCATTATTTTGTAAGTATTGGATAAATATCAAGAGTATACCAAAGTATACAGTTTAATTTCGTAATCAGTCCAGCAAGCTTACATGTATTTCAAGGATAAGAAAACTTGTCTAATTCTAGTATAATGGAGTAAGTTTTTCACAGGTGGTTTTCTTGACACATGACTCACATGATTACTAGCTTAATTTTTTATAAACTTGGTTAATCTTGTATTTGATTTCCCTAGGGAAGATAGTTTTTTGGTCAAACAAATGCCATGTTTCCAGTAGTTTTCTGCTGATTGTAGTGTACTCAGTTTTATATTCTTTCTAGTAATACTCAGACTTATTTTACTACTGAGTATTTACCCTACCCCCTCATCCACCTTTTCTCAAAAGACTATGTTATAACCAGGTTGTAGACATGAATTTAGCCTGTACTATCTCTGGCAGACCATTAGGAAAAAGTACCTCTTTAAAGCAAGTTAGATTGTCAGAGCAAAGGCAATTTCATATAAACAGCTAATGAATGTAATAAACCAGACTTTATTTGGGTGTAACAGGGTGTTAGTGGGTAACCACTTCCTGGAATGTCTCATTGTATTTATATGCAATTTTTCTTTTTCTTGGAAAAAACAAACTCTTTGACTGCACATGGCAAATAACTAATGTATATGAAGCATTTGTACAGTATTTTTAAATGAAAATTTTCTTAAAGATTGATAGCTATATGGCATGATTTCTAAAAATAGGAAGAATCACTATCACCAGTTTAATGCACTAATCAGGACAGTTGATGTATAAAGGTGTCTTCAAGTTTGAATTCAATAAGGTTTTTTAAAGTAAATTGTTTTTAAGAACATTTTATAAATATATACAAAATGTAGGTCTCTTTGATGCTTTACCCACTAAGATAATATACTGCATAGCTAATGAAATGTCATTTCTACAAATTATAATCTCAAAAAAACTACATTATTCATTGCATGAAATCAAAAAGGGTATCATTACAACTTAGTGGGGAAAATATTTATTTTTCAGAAAGGTTTTCAAATATGATTCTAATGAGTATTGACTTATGTACCTTAATAATCACATGAAAGACCTAAAGGGGAAAAAATAAACAGTACTCTACCAGGCTAAAGAATAAAAATCCCCCCTTTTTCCCCTACCCTCTATTTTAAAAGGGAATACCTGACAGAATCCTGTCCATAAAAACAGCTATAATGCTGTGCTTTGAAAAAAAATCAGGCTGCATATAATTCTTAATATATCACATGATGCTGTTGCCTTTAAGACTTTTAGCAGTAGCTATAGGTTCCAACCTGGCACTTCAGGTAATGAAAAATGACCAACAAGTGCTTTAAGTAAGATAAAAGTAAAAATGTATTATCTGAGAGTTCATGAAACAGATTGTCAGATCAAAATGTTTAGCTTTTAAAAAAAATCTGAAAAAGACTCGTCCTATTGTTCAAAGATGTGCACTCAATCTATAAAATGGATTAAGCTCATACTGGTTCTTTCATTAACTCATATAAAAATCTTCATAGTATGAGTAATTGCAAGGATCTTTTACTCCAAGGATCACTCCATTATCCTCTAATCTATTTTATGTTGAATTTTTGTCTTACTCAGATTTTGAAAAGTTTAATACCATTTTCTCTTTGATTAAATACCAGTTCCTAAACTATATAGTTTTAAAAGGTAATCTGCTCTAAATTCTCAAAATCAGTAACAAAAATTGCAGTTTATTCTAACTGCTAACATTTACAAAACATTCAAATTAAAAAAAAATAAAACTTTTTAAAATAGTGCATACAAGGCACAGAGCTTCTTAGTATATTTACTGAAGCCAGATATTTTGGCATCAACAAACACCATTTTAATTTATCTGAAACTCAATTTCCAGGCAGCATATCATTTAGTTCATGGTGAACTAAATTTCCAAACATGTATGATTTTTGTTTAGTGATTTGCATAATTTACTCTTAATAGGTATTTGAAGACACATCGTTTAACTGTCATATTTCTGATGAGAGGACATAAAAAAATGTTAATGGAGAATTAATCTACTGGCCTATCAAGGATTCTTAGAGGAAGTTCAATATTTTGCTATGTTCACAATAGGAGAAAGAAACTAAAGAGAGATTTTTTAAAAAGTCAACTGGCAAAAGAATATAAAACAATATTTAGAATTGTTAGTACATATTTTTCCCAAATTAAGATTAAAAGAGGAAAAATGTTTCTAATGTAATAGAAATGTATTAGTGCTAACAAAAATTGTCTAGCCTGTTGCTTATCAGTGAGTTCAAGCTTTCATAATCATACTTCTTTTCTAGCAGGGAATGAAGGCTAGAATTAGATTAAAGTCTGGCAAAAAAAAAAAAAAAGGGGGGAGGGGATACTGATCTTCAAGTGTAGCCAACTTGGACTTGGTAATGAATTCAGTCACTTTAGTTCACTGAGTCTAAGGCTGACGTTACCTCAGAGGTAATAAACCAGTCTTATTTGATACCTCCCCCTACAGTAACTAATCGGTTTTACAAATAAAGCTTATCATTATGCTGTGACATATCTTTTAAGTGTCAATATCTTCATAGTCTCAGTTTTCTAGGCTGAAAATTAGATGGTTGATGGGCTTTTTATCTGTTAAGTTGTGCTACCCAAATATTTGGGTGAAAACCCAGCCCATGAATTTATTCCTAGTTCTTCATGACAGAAGATATTTCCATCCTTAATTCATAAAACCATAATTACTTTTAATATTTAACAGGAATTTGTATTAGTCGAAACAATTTGTATACTGCATTAAAAAAATGTTAGGTTTTAAGCAATGGCTTCGAAAAGCATAATCAATTTATATTCTTATCCAGTCAAAAGGAAATGGGAACAAATGGTCAGTGGTGTCCTCCTGAGGGAAGCCTCTTCCATCCACAGCATAGATACCTTGAAATGAAACAGAAAACATGAAACTTGTAAAAACTATTTAAAAAACACATAAAAAACAACACTAACCAACTCATTCACTGTTGTTGGCAGAAACACCCCTTCTTCAAAATGTTTCTATGCTCAAAGACTCAGTCAAGGTTTGAATGTAGACCTCTACATCAGTGCTTCTCACACTCTACTAGCCATATAAAAGATGGGAGGATCTTGTGAAAATGCAGAAAGTGCAGATTCTGATTTGCTAGGTATATGGTAAGGTCTAAAATTCTGCATTTCTTATAGGAGGAATATACAGGAACCAAATAAGACATAAGGGGGAAAAATAATAATACAAAACACAACACAACAAAAACAATTATACAGAAGAGACATCCTGCAGGGGAAGGGGGTGGGAGAGAAGAATCAGAAGGAGGGAGGGAGGAGCACAGGGGACTGAGGTGATGGTGCACGGGTGCATTGGTGGAGGATATTGTATGGGGACTACGCCTTAGAGGGGGAAAAAAGGCAAACATTGTTTAAAAAAGGAACAATGATGTAAAATATATATGAATAAATCAATTTTTAGAGGCATTTTTTTTATTTATTTGTTTGTTTGGTTTTTTGTTTTGTTTTTTTTATACATGCACTGGGTACAGTCAGAAGCGCGGGAGGGTGAGAGAATTCACCAGAGCCAGAGCAGGGAGCAGAGCAGGCAGAAGGACCAAAATACACTGCTGAGGGGAGCAGCGGGCGGCAGGAGAGGTCTGCGCGCCATGTGGGACCCTCCTCCGGTGGCCGGGGAGCAGCCGGGGATCGAACCGGCGCAGCAGAGGCTGTGGGCAGCTTCTCAACCCAGCGCTCAACCGCTGCGCCACCAGGGAGGCCCTGAATAAATAAATTCAAATTAAAAAATAAAATTCTGCATTTCTATTAAGCTCTGAGGTGACGCCAGCGCTACTGGTATGGGGCCCAATATAAGTAGCAGAGCTCTGTGCTGTTAGTTCTACATCTGTTTCAAACACCGACTTGGAATTTAGATAAATTTGAAATCTCAAGTGCCTAGAGCACAGCACTTTTTTATTTAAAAATCTGTAAGAGGGAAGGTTGGGCAGGCTAGATTCAGCACTACTAGGGGTTCAGGCACATTACACCTGTCTGAAAACTATACTGGGCCAAGAAATAGTTTATTAAAAAGACCATAGATCATTTACTAATGTAGTTCAAAACCAGAAGAGACTGTTTATTTAGAACCTAATGTGTGTGCCTGCTGCTCTACAAAGTGTTAAAAATAATGATGAAAAATGCAACACTGACCTTATGTCAAAATACTGGAATGCCTGCATGGCTTCCCCATATTACTATGCAAATTTGTAAAATATTTAACACATATAACCTCTCAAATAATTATTATTATAACTACTTATTCAAAATAGTAAAAAAATTCTGTGAAATGTTATGTGCTTCAGAGAACTATGTTCTATAAAATATTTCCTTTGTGATAGTGGTAAGTGATTCTTATTTGTGTTTTCATAGTTCTATCTTAAGAATCATTTCCAGAAATTTAACAGTGTTTCTACTATTTACCCAAATTAAGAAGATTAAGTTTTTACTATCCTAACCATGGCTGTAATTACTCTGATCTAATGTATTCTTTGTGCACAAACTAAAACATCACTCAACTGGGTAACTGCCAAATCAGCATGTTATTATTACCACACATCTACTCATCAAAACCACAACAAATGAAAAACCAGATACCCACAGATATACTCAGATACATCAAATTTTTAGATGTTACTCTCTTTCTTGCTTCTCTTAGATTTAGAATTCTGGATTTCACTTCTGTAATCTCTTGAGAGCATTACTGTTCAACTCTTCATATTATATTTATTTTTAACAGTTGATATAGTTGTTTTGTTCAGAGGTTTATGGCTTTGTTCTAAAGGGGCTCTTTATTGTAGCTTGTTATTGAATGCAGACTTATAAATATGTTGTTTTAAAGAAACTGATTTGGAACTAGAGACTTAAATAACTGTGATATAAAGAAAATATTTGGAACACTTATTTTTTTAAGAATGACACAAGCGGCTGTCACCGTAAATAGAGATGACAAGGTCTGTGCTAACAAGATGTAACTGTAACTGTCTGGGACTTGAACTCATGAGGTTATGCTAATGGATGGATAGTGATATGACCACTGTATATCCTGAAGACAGAAAAAACCTAAAAATTGCATGATGCTATGAAATGACCAGATGATTGTTTCAAGTTCAGTATTTTAGGATCAATCCTGCCATTTAACACATTACTATAAAAGTGAATTTTGTTCAGCATATTTCTATTTCTTATCAAGTAAACCTAAATGAACTAATGCTGAAGCTAGGTCTGTGTCCAGAGCTCTCTGGCATGATTAATGCAATGCCATGGGCCAACTAAGACAACTTCTGATTTGAATCACTCAAAAGTGTTTATAGAAACTATTTCCCCAGGAAAATTAGAAAACTGTTAAAAATGTAAAACATAATAATAAAGGAAAAGACATCTTACTTTCATAAAGTATGAATTAAGTTTGTTTGAAGAATTAAGTCTCATTTTCCATGGTTAATGCAGGATTACTCATACCTTCAGGAAAGAAGATAAATTATTATTTTTTGTGGTTCCTTTTGAATAAATAGGTAGAGATTTATTTATCCATCCATAGATCCCCTAGTAGACATCCAAAGATGACTTATAAACAGTATGGGTGTTTTTAAGATGGTTAAACAGAAACACAAATACAGCCACGCCTGATGTCACAAAAAATTTTGAAAAATAAGTGAAATGCATAAGTGAAGTACGAGCAAAATGGCCTTTTTATTATTATTAAATATATTTATTTTCTTACATTGTTGTTCATTTTTGTACAGTATTGGATCTCTCCTCTCAGGTAAAGTCCTGGTAATTCTCCCACCACCACAGCACCCCTAGTATCACCATGGTGTCTTGTTCTTTCTTCCCCTGTTTTGAACCATCTGTCTCCCCGTCTCTTGCTGTATGCCTCAGATCTATGGTCAGCTTGCAAGTTTTGTCTTTTTCCTGACCCTTTGTTCTCTAAATTCCGCATGTAAGTGAAATCATGCGATATTTATTTTTTTCCTTTTGGCTTATTTCACTGAGGATAATCCCTTCCAGCCCCATCCATGTTGCTGCAAATGGCTTGAGTTTTCTTATGGCTGAGTAGTATTCCTTGGTGAATATACCACATCATCTTTGTAGTCATTTCCAAGTTTTTCATCTACCTACCTCAATCTAGGCAAAGCAATCTTTGAGTCCTTTCTCCTCTTCTCCTTCCCAATTTTCTGTTCCTTCTTTTCATATCACCCTTTAAACTATAGATTCTCAATTCATCCATCAAAGTAACAGAAAAATTAACCTACTATTCTAAATAACAGCATAAAAACTGAAATCATTTTTATGTTAATGTAGAACTATAATGATGAAACACGAGTCCCCTATGAAAAAAAGGGAATTCTTTGTCTTTACACACCCACAAAATTGACTCCCCAAGTGCATATCACACTTCCTTGCCTCTAAACTAATGGATTTGAGGAAAAGTAAGTATCACTAATTTTTCAGGACAATACCTAATCCTTTCCAAGAATTGAAAAATGAAATAGACTTGAACATGAAGAATGAGAAACTAAATTATGAATATTCAAATGATGGAGATCGTGGGAAGGCATTTACGTTCCTTAAAAATAAGATTAAAGAAAGCCTATAGTTCAGAAGAATATGAGTGATTACATATTTAAAAAATGCCCTTGGAATTTTTATTCAGGATTACTTGATTTTCATTATTACTAAAATCCCAGAGATTTCAAACAAACCAGTAAACACTTTAAAATGCAAGGAACTGCAGTCAGGCAACACCAGGAGAGAGGTGAAGACTAGAAATGAAGGTGAAAGGATTGTGGAATTAAATTAACTTGGAGGTTTTCTGGCTAAGAGTGCCTTAATCATAGATGTATGGCTTTGTACTCACTTATGGGGACACCACTCACATATGCGCACACCTGTGTCAATGATCACATTGTTTTGGTTTAATTCATACCGACTCTGAGAAATAAGTATTTTAAGGATAAGAAAGCTAAGTCTAAACGAAGCTAGGTAACTTAACAAATACCACATGATGTTTAGCACCCAAGTTGGGATTCCAAATCAGTTTTGACTTCAAAGCCTTGCTACTTTGCCAATAAACTGTATCAACTGAAGTAACCAAAGCTTAAAATCAACAACAAGAGAAATGTGAGTGACATATGAGGAAATAACAGGTAGAGTTATGGTTATTATGCAATCACTTTACTTCAACATTTTGAAATTGGATAGACATGTTAGAGCAAAAGAATGATATAATTTTATATCCTCAGCAAATATTCTTCAACCTTTTGCCTAAGTTGGGTGGATATTTTTCATTTTTTTAATAAACTACATTTGAGTTTATTTCTATCACTTTATTTAATATGCACTAATAAAGACTGGTTCTATAAACTGGAAAAAAGCAATGTAAGCTATCTTTTATAAAACTCTTTTTTCCTGCTAACAGACATTAATGAACAGCATAATTAGAAGTTCTTTAAAAACAATTCTAAATTTACAGTGAGAATCCAAGTCCAAAGCAAGATAAATCCAATAGGTCATATAATGGAATTATTTTTTACCACTTCCATCTTTTCAGAATAAAATATACAAAAATTGCCAAGTAAACACAAACTTACCAGCTATGCCTTTTCCCGGGTTTGTGCCACTCTCTGTCCAAGACTGAGAATCAGTAAGAAGGTGACTCTGGGACTCTCTCAATGGTTTTGCAGGAAATTGATGGTTTTCAGGACTGAATAATAACAATCATCATATTAACTCTTGATAGTATTAAGTTGAATTTTTCTTATAGTAAGGAACTCAAGCCACTGATGATGCAACATAATTGTAAGAATTACCCCAGAAAATCTACGGAATACAGGGACAAGGCATTAAGTCAAGCTGACACACAATGAAAAAATCTGTTCTCTTTAGTTCTTTTTTCATTCTTCTGGTTACAAAAAGATGATAATCTCTTATGCTGGCAAAGCTCAATTTTTAATAGCAAGAATCAGCCTCAGCCTCAGCCTTTGGCAGATAAGGGAAGCTAGTTAGAAATGAGTACTTTATTCTCAATTTTATGTTTTAAAGTTTATTCTATTTATGTCAACTTATACTAGTTTCTCATTTATGATAGTGATACCAAGTTTGGTTTAAAAATAAAATTAAGTGCATGGAAGGGATCATGCTCGGCAAAATAAGCCAAAAAGAAAAAGAAAAATACCGGATGGTCTCACTCATAGCAGGAATCTAGAAAACTTAAATAAGGGACCAGGAAAACGAATAACTATAAGAAAGTGAAAATCAAAATCAACAAAAAACTACGAACCAGAGACACTTTTAGTGGGGCGGGGGTGGGAGGGGAGGGATTGGGGTCAGAATGGGGGGGGCTGCAATTGTATGGGGAATATAAAAATAAAATTTATTATTAAAAAAAATAAAATAAAATAAAATTAAGTGCCAATTTAAATAAATATATTAAAGATAAATGTTAGTATTTAAGCAGTATGTGGTTACGGAAAAAAATACGATGGTGAAAATATAAGTTTAAGAAAAACTTGTCTAAATGTTTCTAAAGTAGCCTGACTGGTACTCAACAAAGAATTATTTTTCTCTATAAAACTGTAACAACAAATCTGAGCACTATCTTGCAAGAATGTTGAAAAAATATCTGACATCAGATCTTACGAATTTAATGTTTTATTTGGGGAATGAGTGGTTTTATTTTTTTTTAAATAATAGATTTTATTTTTATTGGGGAATGAGTGGTTTTAAAGGAATTTAAATTTTAAAGTTAAATAGTTATGCCACATATTGATATAGTGGATGACACAGAAAAAAATACATAAAATAACATTTCACCTATGTAGAAAAAATTACTGATTTGAAACTGTCAGTTAATTTTTAGAATACCCTGAAGAGTAATTATGTCTCAAAAGAAAAAAGTACTAAAGTTCCTCCAAGAACAACTTCACATATTTCAGTTGAATATAACTATTATAATTTTTTAGAGACTATGCTTTTGCTCTTTAATTGCCTCATATGTACAATTTGAGAATATTTCAATCATGTACATCCTTAACATGTCCTTATTAAATTTTTGGAAGTAAATCTTAAGTAAAAAAGAATGTCTCCAATTCATATGAAAAATATTGCCTACTCTAACATTTATTACTCCTCAGGAAAGGGACCATTTACCCAGGTTCAGCATACTAAAAGGTCCTAGTTTAGAAATTTCTTATAGAATCATTACTGCTAACAAGACTCTAACAATGACAAGAGTCCATTCATTTTATAGTATTCACTAGCACCTATTCTATCAATGAATAATGTCCTTGATTTCATGGACAATTTCATTGTAGTTGAGGAAGAAGAAGAATAAAATAAACATACAGTATTGAAGCAGCAAATAGAGCTATGTCAACAGAAAAGAGATGGTTTCAGAGGAAGTGGAGGAGTAGGTTACTATTTTACAAAAAAGGGTTTTCAAAGATGGCCTCCACTGTGAAGGTAAACCAGAGCAGAAAGTGAATGAAGAGAAGTTTTGTATCACTCAGATTCCTGAAGGAAGTATGGTTCGGAAGAGGAGCTGGCAAGTACAAAGGCACCAAATATGGGCATGCTTGGTATATTTAAGGATGAACAAAATCTTGTGTCTGAGGACTGTGGATGATGGGAAAGTGGCAGGGATGCCATCAGAAAGGTCTGGGGGCTAGATAAGACAAGACAAGGTAAGGACATTCATTAGCTTTGATTCTGGATGGGATGGGAAAACAACAGAAGATTTTGAGCAGAAGAATAACACAATCTGTTTTGTGTTTTAAAAGGATCACATTGACTCTTTAATGGGAATAGAATTGAATAGGGCAAAAAATGGAATCAGAAAGATCATTTGGGGAGGTATTGAAGTAATCCATGTGAAAAAAAATAGCTTGGGCCAGAAACCAGCCATGAGGTGGTAAGCAGATATCCAGATTATAGATAAATTTTGAGGAAACATCTGAGAGGTTTATAAATGGGGTAAATTAAGGAAATAGAAAGAAATCTAGGATGACTCCAAAGTGTCTGATCTGAGCACCTGGGAGAATGAGCTCACTAATACCATATATGGAAAAGAATCAGGCTTAGGGTTGGGGTGAGGGTGTAGATGACTGAGAATCAGGAGTTCTGCTTTGCACCTATTCAATTGGAGATGACTTTCAGACATCTGGGTGGGAATGTTGAGTAGATAGCCAGATATAGAACTGTGGGCTTCAAAGGAGAGAACAGCACTAGCCATAGAAATTTCATATGAGCTAATCAGGAGAAATCGTAGAAGTCAATAGAAGAGACTTTAGCAGTCAAAATACAACCTCAGCATTTAAAGGAAAGGAAAGGAAAGCCTAGAGAGGTTACTTCACCTCTTCAAGATTACCTATTTGGGTAACAGTGTCAGAAGTAAGATTCTTCCCAAGGCCCATGGGATAACTAGGAGGAGGAGAGATACTGTAACTAAAAACCAAATGTTCTTAAACTATAAAAAACACTTAACAAGGGTTAAAAATGATTGAAAACTACCATACTTTATAAAAGTTTGAAAACATTCTGAAATAGATTATTAAAACAAGATTTTTTTTTTCAGTAAGGTATTTAAAAAACCCAATTAATAGCTCCATGGAATTTTCAAGGCAATCCCATAGTTTGACCCAGCAAGACTCTACTGCCTTTGAATGTCTTTATGAAATCCATCAGAATGACCTCATTAACTGGTGGAGAATGCACACAACTAGCTCTAGGAATGAGGTGGCAAATAGGTTTCATCTCTTTTGACAACTAGAAGTGATTTTGGAATGGCTGTGAAGATCACTGCCTTGAGAAGAATTGTGAAGTCAAATCCAGCTTTAGTGGATCAAGTACTATGATCCCTATTTGACTTTACAAGAAATATGCACTGGATTGGAGGAGAGGAAGCATAGGATTGTGTACACAGCATACTGGCAACTAGTAAAACCGCTCAAATTTAAGTAGGAATATTATGGTTATGTTTGTGCTATAGATTTTCATTTAAAAATTAGAGAGTCTGTCTTATTCAAATAAACATTTTATAATATATAAAAAAATCAGTGTTTCAAACTTAGAGTTTATACACAGCCTTTTATAAGTTTAAGTAGTTTTGCCAGTTAGCAAAATCAGAACTGTCAGCACTTCCCATGGGCATTCTTAAATTTTTGATAGACTGGAACCCAAACAGACTTACAGCAAGGCAAATATCTTCAGACATTGCATTTTCAAGATCCCTCCCTCCTTTCTCCATGGAAATAGTTCTGATTATGCTTAGAGGTCTTTAAAGAGAACCAAGATTAGGGTGCACATTGCTAGTGGAATTGATGAGTGGATATCTGGGATGCCATTTGATCTATACAAGCCTGATCCAGGAGGTTCTTCTCATCTCTTTATAACAGTTACCACAGAGGAAAGACATGGAGAGTCAGGAAAGTTCTCCCTATTTGCTTACCTGAGCACTAGGGGAGCTAATATGAACTTAAATTTTTTTTAGCATTACATTTTAGAAATCATAGTTATGTTTCAGCCAACCACAATGTATACAGCATAAATACCTGTTTACCCACTACACAGATTAGATAACATAATTTCACAAATATACTTGGAACTCCCTACACCCGCTCTCCAGTCATACTTTCCTTCATTCCAAGTGGAAATCATTGTGATAAACTGCCTCGTGCTTCATATTCTTTGTTCAAAGGGACATATGCCCAATGTAAAAAAAAAAAGGAAAACACATTCTTTTAAAGTAAAATAGGGGGATAAAAAAGGATTACTTTTTAGATGCTGAATTCAATGCTGCAGGAGTAGATGGTTGTTCAGGATCTTGATTAACAAGGCAAGTTGGAAAGGAGCAGCCATCACCTAGACTACAATTAAAATAAAGTCTTAAAATTGAACAGTCCAAAATATAATAGAGTGAAACTCTTAAAATGCTGATGTCTGTAAGCTGAACATAATTATGTTATAGACAAACATATATCAGACACTGACATCAAAACAATATGCTTAGGAAGATGATGAGTCAACTAATTCCTGTGTTGATATAATAACAAATCATAAAATAATACATTAAGAAACAGGAGTTCTAATGTAGAATTGTAAAGTTCTTTGATTGGATTACTGTTTCATTAGTTTCACATTTGAAAAAACTCAAAACAAAGTACCTTGAAAAAATGGGTAGCAACCAGTACTTCTTCTCATCACCAAAAACTTGTCGCATGTTTTTACTAAAACCCAAGCTGAATCCATTCTTATCTGTTCCATGTCGAAACACTGGACTTCTAAACGCCTCTACAAAAGATGGTAGAGCAATTACATAAGTGGCGGCCACAGCAACCAGTCACCCCTATATTTAGAAATGACTGAATTAAATGAGAAAACTGAAAATCAATAGCCAACCTGTACAAGTACTTATGCACCACTGACAATTTTGCAGCTTTAAAATGATTACACCTTTTTAATTTTTAAGTATCCCTTTTATTATGGAAGCTATATGCATTATAAAAATTAGAAAATACAAACAAGCAAATAAATTAAAACTACATTTTCTAGATCTTTTTTAAATAGATGGGTGGACACAGATAAATGATCAAAGGATATGGATACAAGTCTAGAGTCTTTTAAAACTCAAAATGAGTTTTATATATTTTGCAAATATTTTATAACCTGCTTGTCGATAACTTGCATTTTCCAATTTCATAATTCTCTCCATCTCACCAAAAAGGTACATAATAGCTGGCCTTCCTAAACCAGGATCCAAAGCAGCATATAGATTGTACCTGTCATGCCCTCTCTGCAGGTGAATGTTGAGATCCACAGTGGCTGTGGGATTATTTTTTTTAAAGATTTATTTATTTATGCATGCAAGAACTGGGGTACAGGCCATAGGTGTGGGAGGTGAGCGGAGTCAACAGAGACAGAGTAGGGAACAGAACAGATGGATTGACTGAAATACACTGCTGAGGGGAGCAGCGGGCGAGTCAGGAGAGGTCTGCTGTGCCATGTGGGTCACCTCGCTGGCGGGGGATTGAACTCGTGTTACAGAGGCTGTGGATAGCTTCACATAGCTGCGTCTTAACCCTTTGAGCCACCAGGGAGACCTCCCCTCCTCCAGTCTTCTTAAGTAATGCTGAGATGCAAAAGCTACACTCTTATGTTTGGAATACGAGCAAACATGGAAATATAAAGCATTTTGTCTATTAACAAAAAGAAAAATCTAACCACATTGAAGGTGCTATGAAAAATATGACAGTTCGCAAGAACTTTAGCATTTTTCACTGCAGATTATAAAGCTTTTTAATAATGTATTTTTATAATTACAAGACTATGTTGTCTAGAGGAAGTCCTTTCACTATGACCAGTTCAATCAAGAAGTTTCTAGGAGCTAACAGTTTCTTGAAACGATTTACTTCTTGAGAATTATAATTTATAGATGACTGTGGTACATATACACAATGGAGTATTACTCAGCAATCAAAAAAAAGATAAACACATGCAGTTTGCAGCAACATGGATGGAGCTAGAAGGGATCATGCTCAGCGAAATAAGTCAGAAAGAAAAAGAAAAATACCGGATGGTCTCACTTATAGCAGGAATTTAGAAAACCTAAATAAGGGACCAGGAAAAAGACTAATTAATACAAAGTAAAAATCAAAATCAACAAGCAACTATAAATCAGAGACACAATGGGGGGGCAGAGAGAGGAAGGATTAGGGTCAAAATAAGGAGGGGGTGCAATTGTATGGGGACTATTACCAAAATGAAAATGCATACATTGTGCAAAACTGAAAAATGATGTAAGAATTATATAAAATAAAATATTAAAAAAATATAAAAAAACAGAAAAAAAGAATTATAATTTACTTGTCCAACATGTAAGTTGAAACAATCTACTTTAAAAATTATTATAGCAATATTTTCACCTTACTAGCATTTTCTTGACTATTAAAAATCAACATTCATTAACTATAGAATACAATCAATCTTCACTGTTTCAATAATGGATTCTTGCAGCTAAAAGTGATTTGACATCACAAGGATATTAGTCCTGGCTGCATTTTTTAGTTTAGAAGACTCTATTTCACTTAGTCCCTCTTCTCAAACTTTATAGTATCTTTTTTTTCCTTCTATAGTTTTCTAGAATTTCCCTCTATAGTTTTCTCAATATCTTCTAACTTGTCTCATAAAAGGCTTTTTTTTTTAATTCACAGAACATAAAATTAGTCATATTAAAGTGACCAATTCAGTAGCATTTAGTATCTTCACAATTCTGTGCAACTACTCTCTACAAAAAGTCCTGAATTATTTTCCCCAAAAGAAAAACCATACTTATGAAGCAGTAACTCCCCATTTTCCTTTCTCCCCAATCCCCAGAAATCAACAATATGTTTTCTTTCTCTATGAACTTACCTATTCTGGATATTTCATACAAATGGAATTACACAACATGTAATATTTTGTTTTGGCTTCTTATACTGAGCATATTTTCAAGGTTCATTCATGCCAGAGCATTTATTAGTTCCACTCTCTTTTTTACTGCCCATAACATACCAGTGTTTATTTTTTTAAAGATTGATTTATTTATGTATAGAAGAACTGGGGTACAGGCCAGAGGTGTGGAGGGTGAGAGGATTCACCAGAGACAGAGTGGGGAGCAGAATGGGCAGATGGACTGAAATACACTGCTGAGGGGAGTAGCGGGTAAGACAGGAGAGGTCTGCTGTGCCATGTGGGTCACCTCCTTGGCCGGGGATCAAACACATCCTGCAGTGGTTGCAGTGAGCTTCATAGTGTTGTGCCTCAACTCCCTGCACCACTAGGGAGGCCCCACACTTTGCACGTCATAATTGCTTTTATGTTTGGGTATTTATTTCATTTGGCCCTTACCATGGACTGTTTTACCTTGTTCACCACTATAAATACACAATGCTTTCTTTACACACAATGGACAATCGATTAATACATGAAATGAGTGAACTTGTATAGGTCTAGGTAATCTCCCATAAAGCAATGTCTACAACAAGAACTATTTTCACTTCAGGATAGGATGGTATTTAATCATATGGCAACTTTTGATGAATATCTATTGATGTACTTAACTTCTGTTAACTACAATAATTGAATACTCACCTAATGTAGATTTATTTTTGCTGACTAGCCAACAATGATAGCCAAACAGAGAAGACAAGCTGACAGAAAACATAGCTGCAGCAAAGAATAAAAACATAATATGGAACTTGGCTTGAGTATCAGGTAGGCCATTCTATAAAGAAAGGAAGAAAATAAAATGCTTTGTCAAAGGGGTAGGTATTCCCCTACTTTTATAAGTAAGATTATTTTTGCTTAAAATTTTTCTTAAATTTAGAGATGAAGATACATGATTTTATGCAAAACTGAGGGAAAAACTATATACTCAGATTAAAATACAGGTTTACCAGAATATCAATATATGGAAAAGGTATTAAAATTTGGAATGTTTATTTTGTCTTCCATGACTAAACATTAGAAAAGTTGTGATAGTGTGTATGTATGTAGGAAGCTTGTTAAGAGGAATTATAACATATGACTTTTACTACCTGAATATGTTTTGTTAACGTACCACACATTTACAAATGTTTATTTTTATATAATGCCAGGAAATGAAAGTTAAGTGGCATAAATTAGCTACTATTCTCATTGATGTTTTATATTACTTCAAACAACAGCATCAACCACAAGAACACATAGAACAATACATTCACAATAATACTTCAAGCTATTTAAGTGATAGCATCACAGAAAAGATCAACACTAGAGTATAATATGTGTCTAAAATAAACCTTACAAATCCATGGGATGTCAAATCCAGGCTATGTCAAAGCAAAATCAGATATACTCTCCATGTATGTATTGTCCAAGGAACCTCAAATTCACTCTTGAATGACAGATAGGCTTAGGGCTATGGACACTGAATGAAGACCCAAAGCTGCCAGGAGGTGGCCCTTTCAGATAGAAAGTTATACTCTTCAATACCCTGCAGTAATCTCCAGACTGACACAAGTCAGAAGATCTCACTAGTGGCTTTTGACAACAACGTCCTCACAGAGACTGGTTGCTTCTTTCAAATATCTTTATGGAATGGAATTAAAATCACTCACAGGAATGAAAGCAGTAAGGTGATACTTTCTCAGACATTCCTTTAGGGATCTTTTCTTCAAGATGGACAAGGGAAGCATCGCTGAATGCTAGGCACCATGGCCATTGACATGGGTATCCCTAGTGCTTAGCTTTGTAACTGGTACAAAGTAGGCACTCAATAAATCTTTAGTAGTGAATGTGATTCAGTTTTCACATAAATGATCTAGCAATTCAAAAACTCTTATCATAATAAAAAAATAATTTAATGAAAATAATAGCGCAATCCAGAGGATAACTTTTGTTTTTTACCATTGTTTGGAGGATTATCTATATATATTTAAAATACTCAATTTTAATTTTGTTTGACTTACATTTAAATTACATAGTACAGAAAACAAATGAGTTACCTAAAGCCTAAGCAACAACACCTAATAAAAATTCAGGACATTCCAGATACACATAAAGCACTTCTATTTTTAAATACCAAAAAATCTATGCAGTCAATTCTTTATTTAAAAAAAAAAGATTTATTTTATTTATGCAAGAACCAGGGTGCAGGCCAGATGTGCAGGAGGGTGAGAGGATTCACCAGAGACAGAGCGGGGAACAGAACAGGCAGACTGACTGAAATACACTGCTGAGGGGAGCAGCGGGCGAGACAAGAGAGGTCTACCTCACCATGTGGGTTGCTCTGAGGCCGGTGGGGATCGAACCAGCACCGCAGAAGCTGTGGACAGCGTCATACGCTGCACTCAACCACCTGCGCCAGCAGGGAGACCCTATGCAGTCCATTCTTTTATTGGCAGTGATTAAGTTCTACAGAGTTGCACAAACAGTTTGTAACTACTAAACCATCTTTCCTAGGAGAAATACTGCATTAGGTTTCCATGAACCTCTGGTCACAATACTTTATTCAACAGATCAATGTTAATACAGAACTCATAGGCAACAGTTCTCTAACACATGGCTGAGTAAAGCTTATCTATCTTTTTTTTTTTTTTTTGCTCAGAAACACCAAAAAGTACAAAAATGCAAAGACTGTGGCATTAAATAAACTGAAAAGCACACTTGTTTAAAGTATGAAGTTTGAAACAAGAAGGCAGAGAGGGAATTGCTTGTGGGGTAACTGTGCATATCTGCAAATGACCACAAACGCTCTATGAGCATTAATTCTGGGATTACAAATAAGTTTTAGCAAATAGGTGAATTCAGGAATACAAAATCTGTGAACAACAAGTACTGGGTATATATAAATGAATCCTACTGTATGAAATTAGTGTCTGACATAATTTGCTGGTGAATTTGTATGGCCGAAAACAAACAAAAAACAAATAAAAAAACACCAAGGTAACTGACTTACTGTCCAAAATTTGATAAAATACTGTAAGTCCGTAGCAGCAATAAAAAGGCAATACAGCAGAGAATAAGCCAAGAAGAGGAGGAAAAATTTATAATTTGAAAATCCAACACAATTGTTCACCCTGTTAACAAAACAGAAACAAAGTTGTCAATGAATTATATTTTCAGCCTAGGTATTCATGTGCTCCTCTTAACAGAGGTTTCCTATCATTTAAAGTACAGTAGCATTTCTTTAAGATTCACTCTTAAAGAAAGATTTCATTACACACACAAGCATTAAGAAATCTACTTCACTAAAAAAGGAATTTCTGTATTTAGATTTTTAAAAATTCAGTATTTAACACTTTTTTAAGGAATCATGAACCATATATATTTCATGTCCAATTGTGCAAATAAGTATGTGCCTAAAAGCATAGAGCTTGTAAGAAACCTAATAAAATCAGCAGATAAGAGGAACTTACAAAGTTCTTTCACTATATTACCTTTGGTTTGATTTGCAACTACGATTAAGTAATTTTAAATCTTATTAAATGGGAGGTTTAAAAAAGAATCAGACAGGAGTCAGACAGCCAGGGTTACAATGCACATATGACACTGACTTTGTGGCCTTGAGAGAGTGGGACAGTCTATAAGAATTCATCTTCCTTATCTGAAAATAAGCATTCTGAGATACTTTTTGAGCATAAACTTGATTCCAAATATGGAGATATGATTCTCATTTCCTTCTCCAAAATTACTATATTATCAATAAGCATAAATACAAATACAACTTATACTTTGTAGTCACATTTCTATCTTTTCTTTTCTTTTCATGAAGACAAGGGAATTAATGGGTGACCTTGTGTAAATGTGATACAACACGTAAGTGGAACTGGCTAATATCATCATTGGCTGAGTTAACTGTGTTAGCTTGTGTAATAAGCCTATTGCATAGAACACAAACATATTGTTCCTCTCCTCAAATGTCTTTGTTCCTACTCTAATGTTGGTAATTTACTATATCACTCTCTTTTGATTTTGTAACAAACAGAAAAAAATTTATTTCCACACTTTTAAGTGGAACAATGTTTATATGAAAAATGTTCACTCAATTATACACGATGAATAAGTTCGAGAGATCTGCAGTAGAGCATTGTGCTTATAGCTAATAATATTGTACCTGCACTTAAAGTTTTGTACAAGGTCAGATTTTATGTAAGAGTTCTAACAATTAAAAAATTATATTAAAAATAAAAATTTAAAGGTAAACCTTTACTTTGTTTATAATAAACCAGAAATTGGGGGGGGGAGGACAAAGAAAAATTAATATTTCTACCACAAAAAAATTAAGGAAAAGGGAACTGCATGAGATTTAGGTGGGAATTTAAGGGGCTTGTATATAGTAAATAAATTCATAAAGAAGCAAAAAATTCTAGATACACAACTATCTGAACAAGTTATATATAAGGCTCTAGGGATTCTAATGTGACTACAAATCAATTACTGAGATTGTCTTTCATGACATCTGAATGACATAACAGCAAAAAAAAAATCACAAACAGTTTCAAGTCTAACTCCATTCTGTCACAAAAGGGTAAGTGTTGTTTCAAGAGGAAAGAATGGCAGACACAGGCTGGAGTGCTGTGAGGCTTTGGACAATGTGGGTGAAGACAAGGACTCTTTGTGGACTAGAAGGAAATGAGAAAGGATAGGAAAGATGTTGTTTTCCTACAGGATTGTAAAAGCAGCTTTTGTATTAAAAGATAAATAACATTTTTATAGAAAGTAAATTTATTTTGATCATAGAATTGATGACACTGAATTTAGTTAGGTTAGCTTCTGTATAAGGGAATGGTGTAATTTGCCATGTCAGGGTCAATAGGAGAAAGTCAATAAATAAAGACTATATTTATTTGATATATATTTTAAACTTGGGGAAATAAAGTGATAATATTTATTTTAAATAATTCCTTATTCTCTTCATATCAGACCCAGTTAGGGTTAGATACTTTAAACTGCCTACTGCTTTGTAGATTCAATTTGAAAAGGAAGAGGATAAATTCTGAGTCTGAATGATCTTATATGAAGAAACAAAACATTCTAGGTAAATTTCCCTCTTCTGTTGTTTAAATTTAGTGTAAACCTCTGTTACTGCTGAGTCTAAACTGGGTAAAGAGCACAATATGTTGTATAGAACATGACTTTATTTTTAATTATTTTTTTAAGGATTTATTTATTTTTATATAAGAGCTGGGGTACAGGCCAGAGGCGCAGGAGGGTAAGAGGATTCACCAGAGACAGAGTGGGAGCAGAACAGGAAGACTGACTGAAATACACTGCTGAGGGGAGCAGCAGGCGTGACAGGAGAGATCTGCCGTGCCATGTGGGAATCTCCCCAGCCAGCCGGGAATCCAACCAGCACTGCAAAGGCTGCAGACAGCTTCACAGCGTTGTGCTCAACCCGCTGAACCACCACTGCACCACTGGGGAGGCCGGAGAATGTGACTTTCAAAGGGCAAAAAATTTACCATGTGACTGAGAATCACTCTAATCTTTCTAAGCCTCATTTTCTTCCTCTATAAATTGGGGCTTTCTGTCACTGTTATAAAGATTACAGAATATATTTATATATGCATGTATATATGCATGCATATAGTGTTTATATATATGTATATAAGGACTAAAACATTTTGCATATAAATTAACAGTAATAACATCCTCAGACCTCAAAAAATAACCTCCCAAATCATAACAAATAGGAACATTCTGCTTTCAGAAAACAGGGGGAAAATGTTTATGCTTCAACCTACACCTAGCGTGGATTTGTGAGCATGTTTACCTTTCTGTAGTGCCACCCCTGGAAGAAAATAAGAATCACAGAATAACCATGCTAATGTCCAAATCTTGGCTGGCCATGTTTGTGTGGCTATCAGAAGTATGTGCACATTGAGGTGGAAAATCACAGGGAAAGGAAGAAAGTCAGCCTTCACTATGTAATTAATGTTATCTTTCAAATCATCTATTAAGTTACCTAATTTCATGAGTTAGGAATATTTGAAACATTAATGAATTTTAAATGGAGCCTGCTGTTTAAACATATGTGTGTATTTGCTATTGTACTCTTTAAATTGTTAAAGCTTGAAATAAATTAGTTCTGTATTAGAAATTCCTAGTAAGTTACTGTGTATATAATAATTTGTGCATTCTGGTATAATCTCTGGGACATATTTTAGAATGTTTGTACTTTGTGCATGCAAAGAAAATATGAGAAAATATAGAAATTAACTTTTACATCATTAACCTACTCTTTTTTTTAAATTATTTTATGGAAATTCTCCTGAATAAAGGTACTTTTGAGCTAGTTAAATAAATATTAGAACCTAATCTGAAAGTACTTCCTAATCAACAAAGGCAATATTTCATCGAAACAAAGATTTAAATAGATAATGTTTCAATTTATTAAACTTTATGAGAAGCTTGCTAAGTATACAGCCATGCTCACCATGGGCAATGATGATCCATCTTCAAGATACATCTGAAAAAAAGCAGAAACACACAAAATTCAACATCCCACACAGTTTTAATCACATTAAATTATAAAGGAAATATTAAGCAGTTATTTCAAATGAATAATGGTAGGTAAAATACTGCTAAGAATTGAACAATAGAAAAAGTTTACAACTAAAATAAAAACTACAGCAAAATCTATTTACGATACATAACTTTAAATTCAAAATATATATGCTTCAAGAGGCAAATCAAATACCTCAGTTTTCTAAAAAATGCAACTTGCTAATAGACAACTATTTTATGCTAAAGAAGGAGCAATGTCAAACGTTTATGGCAAAGCTGGATAAAATAAGTCAGGAAGTACTGCCCTTGTAGTATATTAAATATATTGCATCTGGATGTCATAAAGTCAATGGAATTATCCTTATAAAGATGGGAAAGAATCACAGAAAAAGCATTTGTTGAGATGAACTAGCCAAGTCTGAGCTGCTTAAAACCCAGCACTTTGTGTCAGTATGAATCTGGACGGTAGGCACAACTAAAGAATGCTTTTCAATCCGTGCCACGGCTGAGGAATCTTCTTTGCCTGAGGAGGGCAGGCAACAGCAGCCTTAAGACATACTGGTGTCAATCAATGCAAGTGATTATGCAGCTATGTTTCCTAAAAGAGGTCTGAGCAACATGGATAAGGGAAAAAGGTAATAATCTGGAAAACAGTGAGAGAAGAAGCATAATAAATAACAAGACTATGAGCATGTAGACATTTTAGAAGCAAAAGTTTTCTTACTTATCACAGACGGAACAGTGATGGCAGCGATCTGGTTTTATAAGTTGGCATCTGTCACAATATCGGATTGCTAGGAACAAAAAGCTCCACTTAGTTTTAGATTTAACAATGAATTGTGTATATGAGAAGAACCCCCCCCCATCCCAATTAACATTCTAAAAAGCAAATGGAATTTAAAGTTCTTTCTAAATTTGCCTGTTCTGCTCCCCACTCTGTCTCTCGTGATCCTCTTATCCTCTCCCCACACCTCTGGCCTACACCCCTACTCTTGTATTCATGAATAAAATAAAATAAATCTTTAAAAAAGTAAATTTCTATCAATAGAAATAAGATATTCAACTCTGTGTAAATACAAAAAAGGAATGACTTGCTTGCAGCCTCTTTTCTCTGGGTACGTTTCCTAGGAGAATGTGTTAGGGAAATTTTTCTAATGCATTCTGTATTGTCAGTAGTTACAGAAAGGCTCACAGAATGTGCAAATATGTCCATTTCTATAAAAAATAAACTGAATATCTCCCCCAATTAATTCCTATGCATACTGAGATAACTAGGTAAGGATACAAACACATTTTAGAAATGCTATGAGAAATACAATTTATAAATTTATGAATAAACTCTACCTTTCTTCTCTAATACTGGTATCCAAGACATGGATGGTATCCAGTCTGCATGATTGATCTGAATATGCTATTTCATATACAAACTTCTTACAGGCTGAAAACAGTCTACCAAAATTATAGGAAAGCAGTGGCGAAGTAGGCAATTCAGTAGGATCAGTAAAATGAAACTAAGAAATTTAGTATTTGGAAAAATTCCTTGCAACAAATAATTATCAATATTACATTAGCTAATGTTAAAAACTGTGAAAAAGGAAATAGTCTCAATAAACTAATAGTAAAATGATCCTTTTTTAGACAACTATGCCTATATGGAGTTGCTTTCAATATTGAAATAAGTTCTTAATCATCCCCTTACAAAGTTGTTTTTTAGTAAGTGCAAAAATGGATAGCACAGCCTGCTCACGTCCTGAATAAAGAAGTCTCACTGCCGCATTCCAAGTGAAGATATCACTGTATCTCTATAAGGTATCAGAGGCGCAAATGAAGGACTAAGTTATAAATATTCTTTCCTTATACCATCCTAAATCAAGACTTCACTGGTTCTAACATTTCATGAAGTCACAATTAAAAATGCAGAACAAAATTAAAGTCAATTCTGCTTTGGTTGATCTCCAGGCTACAACACTAGTCATGTTTCTATTGTTTTATAGAATTGACCAGGAAAAGATTTAAGAGCATTCCAAGTTATGACGCGATGTTTTTCAGTGAGCATATGACAGTTATGAGCATAAAACACGCTTTCTAAGAGTCATCACATCCTGTTATGCCAAAGCACACAACCTCGACTTCTACCTCCAGACATGGTCCTGGTATAGATTGGAAGATCTTTGGCTGCTCGCCTGAGAACTTCCTGATGAGCTTCTCCTCTTGGCTCTCTCTCCAACAATTCTTTCTCTGCATAAGAGAGATGGAACTGTGGAACAGATTTAAATTTTTATCAGTATTTTCAAAGAAATGGTAACATACTGAGCTATGCATTCCAATAAGTATGTATAAAATATTGATGGTATATAGGGGTTATATTCAGAGACGTAAAAGAATCTGAAATCTGGATAAGTCTGTTAACCTTATAGAGTATTAGTTTATGCATCTAGAATAAGGGAGGTAGCAGGTTTCCAAGGTTCTTCAAGGAGGAATATCCTTAACATGACAGAACAACGAAGTCCTGTGATGAAAGCAGAGTTAAAGTAGGACTTAGAGGTAGTGCAGGGCTAGGCCAGGCACAACCTTTTAGGCTACGGCAAGGAATTTACCCTGAGTGAACTCAGATATGATAGGGAAGTTCTCTGCAGAAGGAGATGATCTACCTCATGTATTGAAAAGATCACTTTGGTGACTTGATGAAAATTCAAAGAGGCTAAGGACAAAAGCAAGGAACCTGTTAAAAAGGAAGTGCAGATGGCCTCCCTGGTGGTGCAGGCAGTTGATCGCAGCACTGTGAAGCTGTCCACAGCCTCTGCGTGCAGGTTCTACCCCGGCCAGCCAGGGAGATACCCACATGGCGCAGCAGACCTCTCCTGACTTGCCCGCTGCTCCCCTCAGCAGTGTATTTCAGTCAGTCTGCCTGTTCTGTTGCCCACTCTGTCTCTGGTGAATCCTCTCACCCTCCCGCACATCTGGCCTGTACCCCGGTTCTCATATGCATGAATAAATAAATCTTTTAAAAAAAAAAGGAAGTGCAGATATACAAGTGAGAGATGAAGGTAGTTTGGGCAGGGTAGAGCAGAGGAAGGAGCATGCATGAGCTTACTCCACAGTTATGGTTTACAGAATTTGCTGATTAATCAGATGCAGGGTCTGAGGAAAAAAGAGTTACCAAAGATGACTTTTTAACCTGAAAAGCTGAAAGAATGGAGTGGCCATTATTGAGATGGGACACTTTAGGAACAGGAGGTATGGGGCAGTGGGTGGGAAATTAGTATATTTTAGAAAAGGTGAATCTGAAATTCCAATTACATGACAAATAAGTAGGTGAAAATTAGTCTCAGTTTAGGGGAGAAGACCAGGCTAATGATATTAATTTGTGACTTTCTGGAATGAGATGAGATGTAGATAAGGTAGATAAAAAAGAGACACGGTTGAGTATTTGATTTATGGTACATTCCAATGCTTTAGAAATTCAGCAGCTATCTGAGAAACCAGCAAAGGAGACCAAAAAGGAGCTGCCACTATGGATAAAAATAGAATTATTTGGATAAGAAAGGAGGTAAGAATCCTAGAAAGAAAATAATAGCCTGGTGTATACAGAAAACCATATATAATTAAGTACTAGACTATAAAGTGGAAAGTCAGAAATTTCTACATAAATCATTGCTGCTAAGTTAGGGAGACTGTGAGAAATGTTAACTTACTGAATTGGTACAAGAAGTAAAGTGAAAATATTAAATTTGAATTTAGATGGATCACTCCAGCTTTAGGGTGGAGGATAAAATTTTGGAAGATCCCAGAAAAGGAATACAGGCAAGACTAAACAGTAGTACCATAGAAAACATAGAAATGTCACAAACAAAAGAGATCACTGGCACTCTGAATTAGGGTGATAACAAAAAAAGAACAAGGAAGGGGTTAGAAATGAAAAAGAAAAATTAGGAAGTGAAAACATCAGCAGGATTTGATTTCAGGGGAGGAGTGAGGAGTGAGATAATATGAGTGTGGCCTGCCAGCTTCTGGCTTGAATGATGAGGTGGGTGGCAGCAGCATTAACGGCATTAACTGGTAGAAGAAACAGATGAGTCACAATTTAGAGAAGGACAAGTAGGTGACTTCTGTTTTTGATGTGCTGTACTTGATGTGTCAGCAGAACGATCAACGAGCTGTGTTTGACAGGGAGATGAATGTTTGAAATTCAAGGAGGAGAGCAGAGATAGAAATAGATCTGGAATTTGTCAATACAGAGATAAACCAGCAGTGTGGCTGAGATCATCTATAACAGAACACAGCAACTTTGTTCAAACGTACAACTGTGAGTGAGAGAGGGTAAGAGAGAAGATAGTAATGAAGCAAACATAATGGGAGGGAGGATGAAGAGATAAAAATAAGTAAATAGCAGAAGAAAAAGGCTATTTTAAAGCATTCTAGGCCAAGTACACCATTGTCTGCAAATATTTGTGATTTTGTTTTTAATATCCTTTTCCAGGTCACATAGCATACTGACTAGCGTTCTGGAACATGGATGCATTTCAAGCATATTACTTCAGGAAACAACTTACAATGATGCCTAGACTGTGTTTTTTTTTTAAACTTGACCTATTAAAATCACACTATCATTACCGGAGCAAAGCTTATTTCTATTCAACAAATATTTGCCAAACTATTTACAATAATAAATTATAAGCCAAGAATACAAAAATGAGTAAGACACAAACCTTTATTCCAAGAACATTTAACCAACATAAAAAAGACAGAAACAAAGAGCCAGAATGATCTTTTCAAAGTGAAAATTTGGTTATATCATTCCATTTTAAAACTTCTGTAGCTGAGACTGCTAGTTTTACTCCAATATCCACTCTTTCTTCTAACAAGGTGAACAGGGCTGTTGAGATCATTACATTCTCAGTCTTTTTTCTTTTTTTTTAAGATTTATTTATTTATGTATGCAAGAGCTGGGGTGTAGGCCAGAGGTGTGGGGGTGAGAGGATTCACCAGAGACAGAGTAGGGAGCAGAACAGGAGGACTGATTGAAATATACTGCTGAGGGGAGCAGCAGGAGAGGTAGGAGAGGTCTGCTGTGCCATGTGGTTTGCTCCCTGGCTGGCCGGGGATCGAATTCGTGCTGCAGTGGCTGCAGACAGCTTCATAGTGCTGAGACTTAACCCCTTGTGCCACCAGGGAGGCCCCATTCCCAGTCTTCCGTGCAAGGAGAGGTGGCCAGGTAATTAAGTTCTAAATATAAGTAGAAATGGCATCAGCAACTGCCAGAAAGTGTCCCTAAAGGAAAGACATTTACTTCTGCTCCTCTTTCCTACTTTCTCTAGCCTTCTGGCTAAAATGTAGAAAGGTTGTACCTAACTGGAGCAGCCATCTCACCCAAGAGGTGATGTTACTCTGACTGCACCTGTCAGAGTAACAAGATAGAAGGGGCCTGGGTACCTGGCAACTGTGGACTAGCTACTTTGAGAAGATTAGTGGAGTCATTATTTTGTTGTTGATGATGTTTCTGGTGATTGACATCTCAAAAATACACCAATAGTATGATAATCATAATAGAAGCATGTCTGCTCTTGGCTTATTTGTTCTACCTATCATCTATCTATCCAGTTATCTTCTCTCTCTCTCTTTCTCTCTCTCTCTCTAATTTTCTGTCTAACCAGTTATATATCCTGACGTCAGGCTGCAAAGTAAAAATGGCACACAGATTAAATATTAGAAATATAATACTCATTCAGTACAACAGATGATATTTGCTAAAATGAAAATTCAAGTATTTATGACACATGAATATTAAAAAAAATCATTAACCTCAATAAGCTTACAATATTAATTAAAAAGACAAAATTAATTCTTCATACATCAGTATTACTGATTTCCATCTTTAGGGCAACTTTACTAATATTTTAAACTTACTTCTTTTGAAGGATTCATTGGTAATGTGAAGATAGTTTTCCAATACGACCAGACAAACATTGCAAAAAGTAGATGATAAGCAATCAGGCACACAACTAAAATATGAGAAACATAATTATCATTGGAGTAATACACACTAAATTTTGGTATTCACAAAAGATCTGCTTGTTCTAAAATCGCCAAATTACCAACCATAGTTAATACATTTTATTTTGAATATTTTATATATATTAATTTTTATTATTGTAAATAACTTCATTAATATAATACTGGAATAAGAACAAACCAATGAATACTTTTTTTTTTTTACCTAAAACCAAGGGCTTAAAATAAATCCCTAGTAATACATAATTAGATCTACACCCAGGATTAGAATGTTCCCATATCTGTAGACAGACTCATCAATTGGCAGTGGCTACAAGGGACCATTTTGTAAACTGTGAAATACGGTATTTGCGTTTGCAGCTTTAAATAGTAAACATAGCATTAAACAAATGTAAAAACATTCAAACTTTAAGAAATTTGCTTCAGTAACATAGAATTACAAAAGCAGTTTCTGTTTGAGAAGCTGTTTGCTTACTCTGGTCAAATCTGTCATCCCTAATTGTCTTAATGACAATATATTTAAACAGCTGCCATCTGGACAAAGGGATTTCCTCCAATAGGAAACAAGTGTCATGTGGGACAATTGTTAAGAAAAGCATTCAGGATACTTTCATCAGGTAATGTATGCAAACACATTTTGTATGGGATTTTAGTCTTTAAGCACTATGCAAATACAAAATATAAATGTTTATAAATGATAAAGATTAATTCTGGACAATACATTTATCTATAACAACTTTATTCTGTAAGATATAGTAAATAAAATGTGCTGATTGGAAATAAAGCACATTTGATATTTTCAAAACTTTAACAGTAATTTCTAACTTTTTAAAAATATTTATAGAATCATTAAAATATTAAATTATCCCAAAAGTTATTTAAATCGGTGTGTGATTAGAACCAGTGATAATTTTCATGAATTATATAGCTGAAATGGAAGATTGTTGGTATTCTTGTGTCTTGAAGCTACAAGAATCTTTGGCACAATTACTGCCATTTCAGAGTAGACCTTTCCAAGCAATCAACAGAATTCAGTCTAGTGATTAAGAGAATAAGCGACCTTCACACAAAGAATAATTCATTAATCCCAACCAGATGCAAATAAATTCTATTTGTTTTTTAAACTATTTTTAACATTTTATATATAAATAATATCTTTTACCTTGTTCTCCAATGTTTTCCATGGACACTATTAAAAAAAGGGAGAGAGAAAGAGAGGTAAACAGGTTATATGAAGCTTATGGTAAACAAAGGACCAGAGACACAGGCCACCAAGTAGATTAATAATTTGGCTCCTCTTCAAACCAACACTCTAAATATCTGCTCAACTTTTCTAGAGGTGAGGCACGCATGGTGTGGAAGAGAGGGTGTAGCTTCAACCCTGCCTCTATTAACACTTTAGCCAGGGCTCCCATACAAAACAAACCTATCGATCACACCCGCTGGGGTCTTACTTTTATACTGATTGCTTTCTTAGTTTTCCTTCCAACTACAGAGCTCAGATGAAAGCAATGTTCTCCAGATCATGACATTTCAGGAGGCATTTACTGCTCTTTAGAAGTTGGCAACCACCTAGCTAGCTCCCCAGAAAGAATCAAATGTTGTGTCCATGGCATACACTCTTATCAAATTTCTCTAAGTAAAAACTCTTATGCCCAAAGACAAATCACTTCCTATACACAACGAGGAGCCCAGCAACGTGACTGAAAAGCTGTATTCCTGAGGGGCCGCTGTAAATATCCGAGGGAGCAGGAGCCTAAGGACAGGAGCCGCAGTGCTATGACAAGCGGTGATAAGAAAATGCATTTAGTGATCCAGGCATTCTGCATTGCCTACTAGCTTTGTTTCCCATTTGATTATCCTCTATTTGTATTAATCTTTTTTTTTTAAGTAAACTTTATAGGAAGTAAAGTTTAAATTTTTTTATTTTTTATTTTATTTATTTATACAGCACTGGGTACAGTGAGGAGCGGCGGGCGGACCCTCGCCTGGTGGCCGGGGCGGGGATCCGAACCGGTGCTGTGGAGGCTGCGGGCAGCTTCGCAACCCAGCGCTCAACCGCTGCGCCACAGGGGAGGCCCCATTTGTATTAATCTTTAGCAAATTTTGGCCTCCATAGTGTCACAACTGAGGATTTTATTTTATTTATTTATGTATTTTTATTCCTATTCTGCTTTTTAAAAGGGTACACTATTTCAGGCCCTGGAATATAATTTCATTGCCTTAAGCAGCACTGGAAACAGAGGATAATGTGAGGCATTTTTAAGATTAACTGATGGAGCCACCCTCCTTCCCAGTGGAGCTACTGAATATCTATGTCAGTTTACGCATTTCTAGAGAGAAATTATTTGACACACCTTCACATATCAAAAGTTATTATGACCATTCTAAATGTACTATTTTTGTCCAAATAATATATGATTTCAAAATTTCTTACCAAACTTGATGTGGTCCTTTTAAATGTTTCCTGGACTCTCAATTTTCTTTAATATTTATGATCCCAGAATGGGACAGGTAGGCACAGATGATCGTTGACTTACAAATGGCCTGTTCCACAAGTGTGCTTATAAATCAGCCAAGTTAGAGTTTACTTCTCACAGAGTCCTGAAGTAGTTACTCTGAGGATTTCAGAAGGACCCTAGGCAAGCCTGTCTTCTGTATTTGATCCCACCGACCCTTCATGCATCTTACTCAAGGCACTGACTTCCCGGTTGTCTTCAAGAGGGCTCAAAATTATATACAACCCTAACTTGTATCAACTCTGCCTTAGAAATTAGCAATGCTGGAAGCAATGGAGCTAATCTAAAAAACTGGAAAATCAATTTAATTCCATTTGCACATTTATATATGAGTGACCCTTAATGACTATTCCAATGATGGTTAATGACCATGCTGGTGGTTTAAAGAAAATGTATTTGATAACCCATGACCCTAGCTGTCAGAATTAAAAAAAAAAAATGAAAATTTAAAAAGTACAGTTTATATGAGTTGATAATCTTTTTGAACTAGACCACTATTATTTGGATATGTATTCAGACACATATTTTCAAAAGCTGTTTTTGCCCTTCAAAGTTTGTTGCTCAAGTAAAATACATGAAAATCTAATATCCTCTGTGTTTTCATTTAACAAGTTATACACAGATACTTGGCTTATGTATGTAATTCCAGTAACATTTCTACAATTGTGACAATCTAAAGTCTACATCCAATTACAATCCTACAAAGATTATGATCCTATCCAATTTCTATAAAAATAATATACAAAAGGGGCCTCCCTGGTAGCGCAGGTGGTTGAGTGCTGCACTGTGAAGCTGTCCGCAGCCTCTGCAGCTCAGGTTCAATCCCGGCAGGCTGGGGAGAGGCCCACATGGTGCGGCAGACCTTTCCTGTCTCGCCCGCTGCTCCCCTCAGCAGTGTATTTTGTCAGTCTGCCTGCTTTGTTCCCCACTCTGTCTCTGGTGAATCCTCTTACCCTCCCACGCATCTGACCAGTACCCCGGTTCTTGTATAAAAATAAATATTTAAAAAATAATAATAATAATATACAAAAGGATGCTTCTCAATCTAAGTCTGGCTTGAATAAATATACTTAAAAATGTAACAGAAAAAATCTAAACCCCCCCAATCCCTTTTGCATGAATTATCAAGCAATCATTCAATTCAGGGGTGAGTCAACTATAGCCCCCAGATCCAAACACAGGAGTTTGGTGGGGAGGAAGAAAGAAAGGGAGGCTTATTTTAAGGAATTGGTTCATATGGTTGTGGGGGCTGGCCAGTCCAAAAGCTGCATAGCAGGCTGGCCAAGTTGAAGAGCCAAGGACTAGGTAATGCTGCAGTCTCAGATCTAAGGGCAGTTTCAAGGCAGAATTCCTTCTTCAGGGAGTCTCTTCACTCAAGACCTTCAACTGACTGGATGAGTTCTGCTCACCTTATCAAGAAAGTATCCTATTTTACTCCAAGTCCATTGAATTAAATTTTAATCACATCTAAAAAATACCTAGACTTCCAAAATACAAACAATTTAAACCAATTTTACCTCAAATAAAAAGTAAATAAAATTCCTCAACAATATGTAGGCTAATATTTAATTGAACTGACTGCCCTAGCCTAGCCAAGTGGATATGACACCCTTAATCTATAATTTAGTTTTATTCCTGAATAGATTCACAAAGAAGATATGTGCTGATCTTTTGCAACAGTTCTCAAGCCACATTTATTACTTACTAAAATTAATAAATTAGAATTATATCTAGCAAATTAACTGAAGTACATCTTAATGTATCTCTAAAGGGAAAACAATAAAATCTTTGGTCATACTCTAAAAATCCTAAGCCCATCCAAATTAAGTTTATTTTACACTAATTATGATTTCCCAGAGTTTGTTATCAAATCCTATTTTCTCAAGAGCTCTAAAAATAAAAGAGTTGGGGCCTCCCTGGTAGAACAGAGGTTAAAGACACAGCGCTATCAAGCTGTTGCCAGTCACTACAGCAAGAGTTTGATCCACGGCTGGCGAGGGAGCTGGGCCACATGGTGTGGCAGACCTCTCCTGTCTCGCCCACTGCTCCCCTCAGCAGTGTATTTCAGTGGATTGGCCTGTTCTGTTCCCCACTCTGTCTCTGGTGAATCTTCTCACCTCCCACACCTCTGGCCTACACCCCAGTTCCTATATGCATAAATAAATAAAATAAATCTTTAAAAAAAATACGAGTTGATTTGGTCTAGATTGATTCAAATTCAATCTTTATAACGAACAGGGGATTATCTCAAAGATCATTCTATTCCTACAGTTTACCAACTGATTTTTTTTTTTAATTTGGCTTTAGTGATTATATACTAAGAGTTTGCTATAAAAAAAATTACAACCATTGATAAGTAGCAGCCCAGTAAACTGTTGGTGACTTAAATCTAGTTTAACTTTTAGTCACAAATACATCCAAAATCTAAATACACCCTCATAGTAGACAAAAAACTGTATTTTCCCCCCTTAAATTAGCAAAGAACAGTTACATAATTGTTTCTAGAACAATTTGGTTTTTGGGTATTTTCATCATAAGCGTACCGCTGTGATCTTTTAATTTCTCTTCTTAATCTGATCTTCCTTTTTCTTCCTTCAAATTCAAACTTTTTTTTTGGAGGCATAATATACTTTTATGGTATATAACACAGTGACTTTTCTATATAAAACTACTAGGCTATTTCTGGATTCAGTCTGACACAGATACATCTTAGCCCCATAAATGCAATATGATAATGAGGAATACCAAAAATAAAGACTTTGTTCTAATGAATGAATCTTAAGGATGATTTATAGCCAAACTATATTTTTCCTGTTTATCTTTATCTCATTTTTAAAAACATTCACTGAATATACCACATGTACACTACTGAGAATAAAATGGTAAGTGAGACTCCATCCCGGTGCTAAAAATGCTTAAGCGTTTATGTAATCATTTTAGTTAGAAGTTAAAACAAACTGAACAAACAAGGACACAGTTATTAAAAACATTTGCAGTTAAGTAATAGAAGCAGCTCAGTTCAGAAGTTTAAGACAAAAATTGTAGCAATAGGACAAATACACTTTAACAGCACCTGTCTTAATAAAATCTTGTCTTTGACCACGTCTTTAGCTGCCATCCCTGTTTTTCTGAATCTTTCACATAAAAACTTATTTAAAAATTTTTTTTTTTGCATAGAAGAATTGGAGTGTAGACCAGAGGCATGAGGGGGTGAGAAGATTTACCAGAGACAAGAGTGGAGAGCAGAACAGGCGGATCTACTGAAATACAGTGCTAAGGGGAGCAACAGGCGAGACAGAAGTCTGCTGTGCCGTGTGGGTTAGCTCCCAGCGGGGATCAAACACAGGCCTTAGGAGTGATAGTATTGAGACTTAACTCCTAGGCCAGCAGGGAGGCTCCAGTAAAACTTACTTTAACAATCATGCCCCTAATTCCTGTTATTTCCTCCACTAATTCTAACTGATCCTTCATCCTTAATATTCCATTGCTACCACTCTAGTCAAGGTCATCAGTACCCTCCTCACCGCTAATTCAAACTCAAGTTTCTCCGACATAATTAATTACACTCTTTGAAAAACTCTGATGCTAAACTTGTTCATGAAATTACAAAGTGCGAGCCCTGTGGAGCAGGATTTGCATTAATATTTTCAGTCGAATTCCAATGACAATC